AACCTTTTGAGGTAGGATTTACTGATATCATCATCACTTTATAAATAGTTGATGTGAGGCTCAGAGAAGTTGATTGATTGCTTGAGGTCACTCAGCAGGGAAATGCCAAAAAGCCCAGACATCTAACTACAAATGAGAAACCTTGCTTTCCAAATCAGTGGTTACCATCTGGACCCCTGTCACACTCCACTCTTACTCCCTCCAAATCAGGGTGGAGCCAGGGGTTTTGTTTTGCTTGGTTTTTGTAATTAATGTTCTCAGGAGTTTCTTGGGCATCCAGCTGTGCCATGTCCAAGAATAAGCATTTGGGAACTACTCCTCAGACAATGCTATGTAAAGGGCAGCTCCCTTCTCTGCTCCTGTGGGAAGAATTTCCAGGGCAAGACATCCTTACAATGGGTCTCCCTACTTGCTTCTCTCCCCTGGCCTGAAAGGAGGAAGGAGTACAGAATTGTTAAATACGTGTGGATGAACTTCAGTAGCAGTTCTATCCTAACGTAAGCTCTCGTGATGGTTATTCCAAAACTCTGGTGATAATAGTTCAGAACTTTGAGCTACACATCCTCCCTCCACCCAGAATGCCCCACGCCCCTTAAAAGCAGCATTATTAAAAACAGCAGCTACTGGGCGTGCTTAGAAACAACTCTTCTAGAGTAAATAACTTGGAATGTTTTTACTTTAGAATATCAAAGGGAGTCTGGACCACATTATGGCTAATTGACTACATATTTCCATGAGCAGAAATGAAGCTATATTTTAGTTATAAGGATACTGACCACATTGTCCTTAATGCTGGTTACCAGCTTTTTAAAAAGAGATGAGAAAGAAAGAGAAGCAAAAAGTGAATTGCTTACTGAATTTCAACCTGACTGAAATCTTAGCTCTGGTTCTATAACAAGGAGGTAATGGGGAATGTAGCACACACATTTATTTGAGCCTGATTACAGCGCTTGTAACCACGCTTCCATGGCCCTACATTTTGCATATATCTGTTATGATAAGAAAATGTTCTTATGGACAATGTTCTCCCTTTTTCCCTCTCCTCCCTGGAGAGAGGTGGTTAAAGCGGCCTAGATGATTAGAGGGCAATGAATACTGAAAGCTGAACATACTTGAATGAGGAGCCATTCCTGAAGTTAAGAAACACTTATAACACAGTTGATCTGACTCTTTTAATGATTTGCATAATTGTTTTTGTGCTACATGCTAATTAGGCTTAATAAGCATTATTTATTTCAGAGCCTAACCAACCATTTCTGGGCTTAGCTAAGGGAGGGGAGTCTGAGAAGGGGGTGGAGCATTCCCAGTGCTGAGCCCTCTCCCCTGCCGCCCCCTCACTGCCCATCTATGTAGGGGAGGGGCAGCAAGGGAACCACACCTAGCACCCCATCCTCCCAGAAGGGCTCCTCCCTGTTTACTCTGCTGGCGAGTAAAATGGCTCAACCGGGAACTTCTAAAACCTCTAGGCTGTGGGTGGCCTTGATTAACTACTCTAGGAAGAAAAGAAGAGAGAGGAAAATCTTGATTATCCAGAACCCTTGGATAATGAGTCTTTCTGGGCAGTGGAAATTTCCCAGATAACTGAGCATTTGCTTCTTCAAGCCCCAAAGTTTTATTTTAACCATTTCAAATGGAAATCTAAATCAAATGTATCATACATCTCCCTTTCTTATATGGACATAATTTACAGTTTTCTTGACTGAGTCACAGAAATTATAATTTATTACATTAACTTGTGATGGAAAGATGGCCTTAGAGGTTGCTAAGATGTAAGATGGTTACTCCTGTATTAAATGAGCCAGATTTATATACATGTAAGTCCTTCCAATGACTTTTTATAATTTTTCTGAAAATTCCCTCTTTATTGTTAGAGTGCCTAGCACTGGCGGTTCCTTTCCTTCTTTCAAACTGCTGCATTCTGGAAATTAGAATAACTAAGGCGTCTATATTGGGTATAAAGTAAAGGGAAATAGGCTCTGAGGGAGGACCTAGGGGACAGCAAATAGCACTTTCTTGTGTCCTCCTGAATTCCCTCATTCGTGCCAACTGTATGGGGAGAATGTCAGAAAGCTGAATCCTGGAAAGGAGAGGTTATCGTAGCTATTCCAAGGCAGCTGATTCAAAAACTCAGAATGAGGCCAAGGTGAGATACGGATCTCCCTTCACAGAGTAACACACATGACTTTTCTGAAGACCAAGGGAATACGTGCCCATTTTAAAATATTTAAATCTTATATGCGACATGAAACAAGAAAGCCCCTCATATTATCTCCACTCCCACCACCAAATAGCTACTTGTGAAAAGCACATCGGCGTTTTTTTCTATCCGCATTCTAGCATGTTATTACGGCTTTTTTGAAAGATAATTTTAGTACCATATACTACTTGTGCCTTACAACTTGATCTTTCAACTTACCAATTTGTCTGGAGTATCTTGTGAATTCATATATTTTTAGTTACTTCATTGCTTTTAACCGCAGCTTAGTATTCCATTGAAGTATCATAATTTATCTAAACAGTTCTCTACTGATGGATATTGGATAGCATCCAGCTTCCCAATATTACAATCAACAATGAAATGGATATCTTTGAATACCTATAATTGAGGGAGTATTTGGATAGAATAAAATTTTAGATGCGGAATTTGTTCTTTGTATTAGCTTCCTAGGGCTGTTGTGACAAAGTACCACAAACCGGGTGGCTTCAAACAACAGGAATTTATTGTCTCACAGTTCTGAAGGCTAGAAATCCAAAATCAAGATGTCAGCAGGGTCCTGCGCCCTCTGAAACCTGCCGGGCAGCCCTTCCTTGCCTCTTCTGAGCTTCCGGTGGTTTGCCAGCAATCTTTGGTTTTCCTTGCCTTGTAGCTGCTTCACTTCCATCTCTGCCTTCAACGTCACGTGGCATTCTCCCTGTGGCCTCTGTCTTCACATGACTGTCTTCTTATAAGGATATCAGTCACATTCGATTATGGCCAATCCCACTCGTTTGACCTCAGTGAACCAATTATGTCTACAATCACCATATTTCCAAATAAGGTCATATTCTGAGGTACTGGGGGCTAGAATTCCAACATGTCTCTTTTTTCGTTGGGGAGGGGACACAATTTAACCCATAACATTCTAAGGGCTTTGAAAATTTTAGTAGCTGCTGCCAAATTTGCTTCCAAAAATATCATGACAATTTAGATTCTCACCAATAATTTATGAGGATCAGTTTCTCACCTTCTCACCCACGCTGCATATCAATTTTTTTATTATTTTTCAGTCTCAGTAAAAATTTAGAACTCATTATTTAACTTTGCATTTTTTAGATTATTAGTGAAATGAGCAAACTTTCACTTGCTTTACTGATTATCAACATTTTTTCTGTGATTTGCTTCTATTATCTTTTGCCCATTTTTCTTTCATTGTTCATCTTTTTCTTCTTTATTTATAAGTGCTTTTTGTTTATTAGAGGAATCGATAAACTCTTTGCTTGTTATATATATTGTACTTTTCCTCCAACTTGTTCTTTACTTCCATCTTTGCATGGAAGCTTATTTTTTTAACTTTTTATTGAGATTATGATAACTATGATAGTTTACAACATTGTGAAATTTCAGTTGTACATTATTGGTTGTCAGTCACGTTGTAGGTGTATCCCTTCACCCTTTGTGCCCACCCCCATCCCCCCTTTCCCCTGGTAACCACTAATCTGTTCTCTTTGTCTACATGTTTAACTTCCACCTATGAGTGGAGTCATACAGAGTTTGTCTTTCTCTATCTGGCTTATTTCACTTAACATAATACCCTCAAGGTCCCTCCATGTTGTTGCGAATGGGATGATTTTATCCTTTTTATGTCTGAGTAGTATTCCATTGTGTATATATATCATATCTAGAAGCTCATTTTTTACTGAAACATCATTGACATATACATTGTATTAGTTTTAGGTGTACAATGTAATGATTTGATATATGTATATATTTCAAAATGATTACAGTAAGTTTTGTTAATATCCATTACCACACATAGTTACAAATTTTTCTTCTTGTGATGAGAAGTTTTTAGATCTACACTCCTAGCAACGTTCAAATACTCAATACAGTATTATTAACTATAGTCACCATGCTGTACGTTAGATCCTCAAGACTTATCTTCTAACTGGAAGCTTGTATCTTTTGGCCACAGAAGTTTATTAGTTTATATAGTTACTTTTCCCCTTCTATAATCTAGGAGTTGTCATGCTTAGAAAGGCTTATCCACCCCAAGTTTATAAAAATACATCCCCGTATTTTCTTCTAATACAGTTGTGGTTTCATTTGTACATTTAGATTTGTGATTCCTCTGACATGTGTTTTAGTCTAAGGAGTGATGTGAGGGTCTAGGATTATTATTTTTTCAAGCGGCTATCAGTTGTCTCAAGGCTGTTTATTGACCTGTTTTCCCCATAGATCAGAAATGATACCTATATCACATACTGTGTTATGTGTAAATTGCTACATGTTTGGGGGTCTATTTCTGGGCCGTGCTATTCTGTTTCATCATCATGTTGGTCTCTTGTTGAGTTGGAACCACACTGTTGTAGTTACTATAACTTTATAATACATCCTAAATATCTAGAAGGGCTTGTTTCCCTCTTTTACTTTTCATAATTTTCCTGACTCTTCTCACAAGTTTATTCCTCTAGACTAAGTTTAAATTTCATCAAGTTCTTTTACAAATTCTGTTAGTATTTTAATGGAATGGATTTGAGTTTATAACGAAGACGGAATTGGCACTTTTTATTCTTTTATTTTGCCACTCAAAAATGGAGCTGTCTCTTGGGGGCTGCCTGGTGGTGCAGTAGTTAAGTTTGCACGTTCTGCTTTGATGGCCCGGGGTTTACCTGTTCGGATCCTGGGTGTGGACCTACGCACTGCTTGTCAAGCCATCCTGTGGCAGGCTCCCACATATAAAGTAGAGGAAGATGGGCATGGATTTTAGCTCAGGGCCAGTCTTCCTCAGCAAAAAGAGGAGGGTTGGCGGCAGATGTTAGCTCAGGGCTAATCTCAAAAAAAAAGGAACTGTTTCTTGATGAATTCTTCTTTTCTGTCTCTCAGCGTTGTATCTTTTTCTTCATATAGTATGATATGTACCATTTTGTTAATTTATTCTTAAGTATTTCACTTTTTCATTGCTGTTGTGAATGAGATCTTTTCTTCTATTGAATTTTCTACCTGGTTGCTGTTTCCCTTCAGGAAAGTTATTGATTTTTTTTTTTCAACATGAGCTATGTGACTGGCTACCTGTCTGAATTCTCATATTGTTTCTAATGGCTTTTCAGTTGGTTCTCTTGGGGTTTCAGTTACATTGTCATTTCATCTGCAGTAAGTAGAATTTCACCTTCTTTCTTACAATATTTATACTTTTATTGGCTCTCTTATCTAATTGCACTGGCTAGCTCTTCCAGAAAAATGTTAGATAACAGTGATAATGGACACACTTGTCTTATTCCTGATTTTAATGGAACTGTTCCCAATGTTTTCCTGTTACTCCTGATATTGCTTATGATTTGGGATACATATGTCTATTGTATTATGGCAGTATTCCTATATTCCTATTTTGACGCAGTGGTTAAGAATAAGCCACTTACTAGCTATCTACAGCCCAATTCCTAGCTGTGTGACCTGAGGCAAGATCCTTAACCTTGCTAAGCTTTAGTTTCCTTATCTATAAAATGAGGGTGATAGATAGTACTTTCATCATCGGGTGAGGGTGAGGACTAACTGAGAAAATGCATACAAAGCTTGTCAGACAGTGCCCAGCACAGAACAAGGGCAAAACAAATGTTAGCTCTTGTTATTATTATTATTTTACTATAAATGAATGTTCAATTTTATTACATTCCTTTTCTGTATCTTTGAAGGTAATCATACCTTTTCTCCTTTGATTATTAATAGGGTGAATTGCACTAATAGATTTTTCTAAAATCGAATCACCCTGAAATGAGCCCCACTATGTCACAGTGTATTTTTTTAATGGACTACTGGATTCTATTTGTTAATATTTTAATTAGGATTTTTACATCATGTTTAAAAGTGAGAATACCCTAGTGTATGTGGGGGGGTGACATGAGTGGCGTAGGTATGATGTGAGTCTGTGTGGTGTGGGATGTGTAGTGTGTGGGTGGTGTACGTGTGCATAGTGTATGTGTGGGAAGCACGTTTGTATTTGTGTAGAGTATGAAATGTGTGTGTGTATGAATGGTGTGTGGTGTGCAGATGTGGTATGTTTGTACAGTGTGTGTGTGGTGTGCGGGTATGTGTACTGTGTGTAGTGTGAGCAGTGTGTGTGTGTGTGTGTGTGTATGTGGAGGGGCAATGCTTGTATGAGGTGCATGATGCATATGTGTGATCTCTATGAAGTTTTGGTACCAATGATATGTTGGCTTCATAAAATAAGGAGGAAGCTTTTTCCTCTATGCCCCAGATGAATTTAATAACATCAGAAGCATCTCTTCCCTTAAAGGTTTAAAATAACTAACTTGTTAAATGATCTGGACCTGGGTAGTTTTTGCATCATTGTCAATTTCCTCCATGGTTTGGGTTTCTACAAACCTCTTTCTGAGTCAGTTTTGGTAAGAATTTTTCTGAAAATAATCCATTCGTTCTCATTTACTAGAGAATATAGAAACGACTATTTTCAATATGATGTCAAATAATAGTGATATTTATGATTAAAATGCTTTCCTAACACTTAGCATGAAGCAAAAGGGTAAGAAGAGTTGAGAGGTGATTTTGGCACCAGGAACACTCCAAGGATGGTCAAGCAGGGAAGAACTCCCTGAGAGACTAGATTCTTCTTTGAGTAACAAAACTGGGGAAATATGTGGTTGATTGGTTTACCACGGTTAAGTAAGTGGTAGATAAATTTACTTGCCACGTAAATGTGATCAGTAGGCTAAATCCTTCCAAACATGGTGGCTCTTGAAGGAAAATACTGAAAGGATGCTTTAGGGGTGGACATGCTAGGAAGCAGGTGGGTCAGGCTGGAGCTCAGCCGAGTGGTGCCTGCTGCCAGCTGGTGGAACAGGGAAGACTTCCTGGAGGAGATGGACCGAAACTAAACTGAAAAAGCAGAAAAGTTTCAGAGAGGCCAAGGGCATTTCGATGAGAAGTGGATCACAGGATCAAAACGCTGGGGGTGGAGGGTCGCGCCCGCTGGCGTGGAGGGGGGAGCACAGTGACTGGAACTAGGGAGATTTAGGGTTAGCTGGTGGGCGGGTACAGAGTGCCAAGCTAAGGAGATCTGGCGTGACCCACATGTCTTTGGGAAGTCAGCTGACCTCTTGTCCTTGAAGGCTTATTCATGTTTGTGCTGACTTCCCTTCTTCCTCCTTGGACTCGAAGAGAGGCTGCTAAGTCAGTGTGTTCAGTTCGATGGCTTATGCAGGTGTTGGTGAGCTGCGGGAGCGTGCAGGCCTTCTCTCCTCCAGTCCCCAAGAGTCCTGACCCCTCTCAGTTCCCAGGTGCTGCTTCCTTGGCTAAGGTTTTCCAGAACACACAAAGCTCTGCTCGTGGCCTCTGATGCGGGGTTGGTGAGCTGAGGAGTCGAAAGAAAGATTTCTTAGACTCTCAAGATCTGGCAGTAGTGCTCTTTTATTTAGAGAATAGTATAGAATAGCATGGGGACAGGACCCATGGGCAGTCAGAGCTTCTGCTGCCCCAAGTTGAGGGTTAGAGCTAAATTTAAGGCATAGGTATGTGAGTTATCTCTTTACGAGACAAAGAAAAAAAAGTTAAAATGGTACCAGCGCCGGTAGGGTCCGGCCATTGGGCTGTCCCACAACTTTTAGATAAGAATCAAACCTGATTGAGTAAATGGCAGAAGTCACCGCTCAAATATTATCTTCAGCTAAAGACAAAGGAGGATTTTGGGGTGGGGGCTCAGTTACATGAGGTTGCCAGACAGTAAACAACTTAAGTTCTTGCCTTCCCCATTAAGAGTTTCCAGAGATAAGGCCATCCCCCCTTCCTCCTGGCGCAGAGAGGGAGGCATGGAGATTTCCTTCACAAATGCAACTGTCTCTGATCAAAGGGCAAGCAAATTCCACTCCTCGGAGCCTGGTTCTCATCTGCAGTTTTAAAATTAACCAGCCTAAAAATCCTCATCATAAACTGTTTTAAAATTAAGCAGCCTAAAAATCCTCATCAGCCTCCATTTACCCAAAAGTGCCTCTCTCTGGCCCAGTCGGCTGCTTCTTCCTTCTCCATACAGAACCTAAAAGAACGCTGGAGACAGAAAGGAGGTTGAAGACTAATCATTAACTCTGTCAAGGAATCTTCCCAGGGGGAGACGGACTTCCCATTCCCAACAACAACATTCTGGTTACTTTTTTGTTCTGAGAGAATGTTTCTGTCTCTCGTGCCCAAAGGAAACTTAAAATGAAATAGGCTTTATTTAGTTGCCTTTGCGTTCAATTTGCAGCAGTTAGAACTGCAAGAGCTTTCACAGCTGAGGAATCTGGGGCCCTGGAGGTTCTGCAGACTAGGCTGTGCACATAGCGGGTGGTGGTGAAGTGTCTGCTGACTTTGGTTGAGGGGCCTGTGGTAAGTCTGTGGGTGGTCAGTGGCAGAGTTCAGAGCAGAACTTTGAGCTGTAAGCTTGTCTTCCTGGCCTCCTTCCACCAGACCCACCTGATTCACCATTTTGAGGTGAGGCTGGAGGAAGTATGATGGTGATGAAGGCAGCGGCCCTGTAGGAACCACTGCAGAAACTGTGCCTAGAGACTAGGAGAAAGCCGGGGAGCCACCCAGACTGAGCCAGTATTGGAAATCAAGGCTTCCAAATAGAGTCACATGCAAGAGCAGGGGAGCCCCACTACAGCCATGAGCCAGAGACCAGGGGCTCTGCAACCAAGGTAAAGCTTGCATGGACTGACATTCTTCCTGCTGTGGCAGGATCCAATGACTGTCCCAAGATTGGCCTTCCCAGAGTCTGAATACCCGTCAGATGTAAAAGGGTATTCTGAGACCAATTTCCAATGTGTGTGGCAAGGGGGTTTCCCCACACCAACAAGCATTCTTGAACACCAGCAGGGCATCTGAGAATTCAACTCAATTCTGACACTATCTACCCGGAGATAGCATCAGATTTCATAGGTTGAGGGCTCAGTCTTACAAGACTGCCGCAAACTACCACTTCATATGTCAATTACAAGTCCAGGTTGTCACCTGTGCTTCTGACCAACTGGCTATAGATCAGAGGTTCTGATGATCCCTCCTTGCATTCAGTTAATTTGTTAGAGCAGCTCACAGAACTCAGAGAAACATTCTACTACTAGGTCACCAGTTTATTATAAAAGGATATAACTCAGGAACAGCCAGATGGAAGAGAGCCGTAGGGCGAGGTATGAGGAAAGGGCACAGAGCCTCCATGCCGTCTCCAAGCATACTACTCTCCCCAAATCTCCAGAAACTCCAAGGGTTCTTATGGAGGCTTCATTATGTAGTCATGATTCATCAAATCATTGGCCATTGGCGATTCCAACCTCCAGCCCTTCCCCACTCCCTGGAGGTGAGGGGGCGGGACTGAAAATTTCAACCCTCTAATCCCATGGCAACCAGTCCTCATCCTTAGGTGCAGTCCTTACAAAAGACATCTTTATCACTCTCATCACTTAGGAAATTCCAAGGGTTTTTAGGAGCTCTGTGCCAGAAATGGAGATGAAGACCAAATATACATTTCTTATAAATCACAATATCACAGATGCCACATCAGACCTGGTACTTTTACCAAGTCCTTCCGACAAGACTCCACACTATCTTTAAACTTTAAAGGTTGAACTTTGAGATAGTTCAACTGAGAATCCTTCCATAGAATGAACACCACCTGCTGAACACCAAAAGTCCCCTGCAGTGTTTCTCAAAATGTGGTCTGTGGACCACCTGTCTCAGAATTGCCCCAGATGCTTTGTTACAAATGTAAATTCCTAGGCCCCACCCAGACCTACTGAACCAGCAGCCCTGGGAGTGTGGCCAGGAGTCTGCATATGTAATAACATCCTAGACGATTCTTATTTATGCACACTGACATTTGAGCTCTACTGAGTGATATCGAAACACACACACGTTCTCTGGAAGTGGCCAAATGGTGATGGTAAACTCTGGCCCATATTCATTCCTTTGTTCATTTATTCATTCAAAAAATATTTTTAAAGACTTTTGTTCAAGGCATTACATTAGATACTGTGAAAAGTCTAATTCAGCTAGTTAGTACTGATTTCCACTCAATTCAATAAACAACTAATAGATGCTCAACTAATAGGTGCTCCAGGCAAGGTGTGAGGTGCTACAGATCCAACATAAATATGCAGTTCCTGACCCCTAGGACCTGGGCAGAGAGGGGGACCCTCATAGAAGCGATGTGACAGCATGAGAGGTGCGACTGATGTTATGAATAAAATACATGGGGGCAGAGATGGGTAAATAGTTCTATTAAAGGGCAGAAATGGAGATCCAGAAAGGTTTCAGAGACGAGATGGCATTTGAAGTGGATCTTGAAGAATGAGTAGAATTTTGCCTAGGAGAATGGGCAAGGGCAAGACGAGCATTCTGGGCAGAGAGTACAACCAAAGCAAAGGCACAGAGGCAAAGATGCAGGGCATGCTTGGGTCTAATGAGCGGTTTGGGGAGATTGGCCTATGGGGTGCCTGCCAAGAGGAAACCAACTGAAAATGAAGCCAGAAGCAGGCAGGTGCCAGATTGGGAGGAACCATAAATGTTTTTCCAGAGTCTGGACTTGGTCCTGTGAGCCAGTGGTTCCCAAATCTGGCTATGCAGATTCCTGAGCCCTATCCTCTAGCAGTCTGATTGAATCTGGGGTGAAAATGAAGAGTTTGTATTTTCATGAAAGTCTGCAGGCAATGCACAGCCATGGCTGGACCGGCTGCAATGAAGATTGCTAGAAGGACTTTCATTAAAGAAAATTCGTCATCACAGGTGGACTCTGGGCAGGCCTGGGCTAGAATGAGGTGAGCGAGGCACCTAAGGAGCAAAATTTAAGGAAGCCTTCCCTCTCAGCACTTGCATGATCCTGACTGGAATGTCTCCTTAAATTTCACCTCACCGCCTGCACCCTAGTCCCGGCCCTGGCTCAGGGACAATGGAGAGGCTTGAGGGGAAGGGTATATATCAGAACAGGCCACAAGGAAGCCAGTCTGAGTGAAAGAGGATGGAGGCTTCAGGGATGAAGAGCACATCACGGAGACCTTTCCAAAGTAGCACCCATAAGACCGGGTGTGACCCAGGGCAGCAGCCCAGGAGGACACTGAGGTTGTCTGGCTTAGGGACTGGAGCATGGATGGTGGGCACTGACATAATGGATGTGAAGTATATTTGGGGAACTGATGTTCAGTTTGGGCCACACTATTTGAGGTTCTTGTAAGAGATTCTGGGCAGAACTGTATTACCACTTCTCTCTAAAGATGCTTTCAGGTACATCCTATTGGAAGAATCTCAACAAATTTAAGAACTAATTATTAAGCTCCTACTATGTGCAAAGCAAAGCCTGTGCTAGATTTCTTGGGGGGGCACAAAAAATGAATAAGACACTACCCTAGGTCCCCAGAACTTTATATATGCAAACAAGTAATTCTAGTGTGCATTAGTCTATATTAGATCAATGGTAAAAGTACAGAGATAGTACCCTGGATGCCTAGAAGAAGAATTTGTAAGATTAATTCTGGCAGTGGGGATTGGAGAAGGCTTCAGAGGTAAGATCTGAGCTGGTTCTTGAATGTAGATAGAGAAGAGCAAGCAAAGCAGAGGAAAATTTGAGCAAAAGCACAGAAGAAGGAAGTACACAGAGTATCACAAGACTGCTTTGGAGACCAAGATCCCACATGCATTTATTAAGCATCCTAAGTATGCTCAGAACATTGTTAGTGTGGCAGCAATGAGTGCACCTCGTAGGCCTCCAGCCATGGTGAGCTCAATTGACCGAGGGCCCAACTGCCTCACTCTGAAGTCCATTGCCACTCCCAGCCAGTAACTGAGCAGGACAGAGATTCTGAGAGAGGCTCATTCCTAAAGGATACAGACTCGTTTGATGACCAGTTTTGGCTTGAGGACTCCTCAGGGCCATGCCAAACCTTCCCGAGATTGCACAGCTGTCCAGGACACTTCCAGCCATCCTCTCTTCACTCGTCTTCACTCAGGGTCGGATTACATTGGCGCCTGATGACTCTCTCAACCTTACCAGCAACCTCCCCAGTTTCTTTCACACCAGCTTTTCCAGGGACCCAGACTAACCCAGTTAGGTATTATGAGGAGGGAATCATATCAACGTGGTTCTTTTTCACAGTTATTTGCATGTTGAATCATCCTTAAATACCCTAGTAGGGCTATCTATTCAAAGGAACTTGGAAAAGAGATATTTTATTTAAAAAAAAGACACTTCTGAAAAAGGACAAATCACTCTGCACCTTTATGCTTTTGTGTATATCAAGATTACTCAAAGAGAGGTGCGGCTGGAATGAAAACACGTTGGCGGCCCAGCAATAGCCTTCGTGGGAGGTGGCAGCTGAACACAATACTGAACTTCAGACCTCCTGCTGGCTACTCAGTCCAGCCATTGGCTCTGTGCTTTCTCGGGTAGTATACTATGAATGTTTTCTAAGGTTCTCTGAATTTCCAAAGATCACATGGCATAGTGGAAAGAGGCTGTGGATCCAAGCAGGCCTTGGTTCAAATAGCAAATGTGCCACTTTCTGCATAACCTTGAGCTGGTTCCATAACCTTTCTGAACTTTTCTTCCCTCATCTGCAAAGTGGGGCTAGCGCATGGAAGGTGCACAGTTACTGGGAGGACTGGACATAAAGTACAGAGTGCCAGGCACTCTATAATTGGGAGTTCTTGGTCTGTTAGTTTTATCAAAAAGTGGGGTTGAGTTTAGCAATATAAAATGAAATGAAGCAGTCGAGGTCACACTGAAGAATAATTCTTGCTAAGGATGCAGTGTTCCTCTCTGTCACTGCCAACATGAGGAAACACAGTTCAGAGATCAAAATGAAATTCACCCAACAGCCTAATACTAAGGATTGCACTTTTAAAATTCTTCTTATCTTCGGCTATTAGAGCCAGAACTTCTGCAGATATCAGTGTAGTAACTAATGGCACACAAGCCTCTGCTCCATTCCATCAGAGAAGCCACAGTTTTGATTAAGAGGCCCCAGATGTTTCCACGCCAGTATCCCTTGGCACATAGAATCACACAGCCTCATTTCTCTGATTCCCAGCAGAGGGCAATCCCAGTTGTGTGTGCACTAACATGCAACCCATAAGCCCCTCTGGTGGGTTAAAGATGGCTGCAAATTCCTTGACATTCCTCTCATAAAGAGGTGGGCTCTATTCACCCTCCTCTTGATTCTGAGTTGGCACAGTTGTATTAGTCAGGGTTCTCAGAGAAACAGAACCAATAGCATAGAGAGAGAGAGAGAGAGCGACAGAGAGAGATTTATTATAAAGAATTGGCTCACCTGATATGGAAGCTGTCTCAATATCTGCCGTCTGCAAGGGGGAGACCCAGGAAAACCAGTAGTGTAAGTTCCATTCTGAATCTGAAGACCTGAGGATCAGGAGCACTGATGGTGTAAGTCCCAGTGTGAGGGCAGGGGAAGATCGAGACCCCAGCTCAAGCAGTTGAGTGCAGAGTGCGAATTCTCCCTTCCTCCGCCTCTTTCTTCTATTCAGGCCCTCAGTGGATTGGATGGTACCCACTCACATTAAGAAGGGCAATCTGCTTTATTCAATCTACCAATTCAAATGCTAATCTCATCCAGAAACACCCTCATAGACACACCCAGAAATAATGTTTAACCAAACAACTGGGCATCCAATGGCCCAGACAAGTTGATGCACAGTATTAACCATCAGAGTACAGTGTAAGAGCTATGCTAGTTCTGGGACTAGTCTTTAAGCGAACAGGCAGCTCCTTCCTTGCTCTTTTGGAGCTGTCACTAGCCACATAAAAAGTCTGGCTGTCCTGCTGGAGAGACCATGTGGAAAGGCCCTGAGACTACAAGGAGAGGGGACAGCCAAACCAATTTTCCAGCCAATGCCGTTCCTGCCAAGGTGCCAGGAATGTAAGAAAAGCCACCTTGGACCCTCCAGATCAGACCAGCTGCAGCTGAATACCCTGAGCAACCCCAGGCAACCCCAAGTGGAGCAGAAGAATCACCCCACTGAGAACTGCCAAATTTCCAACCAAGAAATAGTGAAATATAATAAAATGGTTGTTGTTTCAAGCCACTAAAGTTTGCAGTAGTCTGTTATTCAGGAAAAGAAAACTCTGAAGGAAGAGTCCGCACTTGGAACTCCCTTTGTATGATGCCCACACAACCCTAAGGACTTGAAATGGCTTGGCAATCTGAACAATTTGCTAGACCGAGATTTTGAGTGTCTTCAAATTTATTGCCTGCTCGCTATCTCAGGGCTCAAAGTGTGGGGGGCGGGGGGGTGGGGAGCATGCAAAGGAATGCTTCCAGGGTCAGTCTAGAAATTGATTAGTTTCCTTCAACTCTAAACTTCTGTCCTCTTAACCATTGTGTTTACACATGGAAGACTAAGAATTGTAGAGAGAAAGAGAAAGAATGGAGAATAGAAAAGGGAGAAAATGGAAAGAAAAGGAAGCGGAGGTTTCAGATTGCTTGGCATCTGCTCAAAAATGAAGAAATAAAATCATAAACTTCCAAATGAAGAAATGGGCCAGTTCTCACCCACCCTTTGGAAACTCCACCCATTGTTCAACACCAACCACACCTTAGAGGATAAATCAAGACAAACAGCTAATGGCCAGTAGAACTCTTTTATCCTCAGTTTCTATTTGACATCAGTTTCCTTTATTCATTGTCAGTCCACAAGCATTTATTGAATAATTGTTATCTGTGGGAGAAACTAAAAAATATGATATAATCGAAATGTCCTCCTTCACCCCTTTGCAACTCAAAATAAGATGATATCTCTTTTCATAATCAAATCAATAAAATTCAGCACTCCCATTCCAAGAGCAAGAAATCTATTCTCCTCTCCTGGGGTTTCCTGTCTGTGATACATTCAGGAAGCTCACGGGTGCTTACCTAAATCACTTCAAAGAAAATCCCTTTGTCTGCCAGAAGAAACCATTCTCTACCACCATTGTTGCAGCTGTGGTTTCACTGTAGAACAGTTGAAAACAGGGAGTCCGTCAAATTCTTCAGCCAAAAGAACTGCAACAGTAGCTGAGGTCCAAGGCAGAAAGAGTTGAGATTGAGATTGTGGCCACCTTGCCACCAAAGCCAGCAGTCCAGTACCAGCCCTATGTCTTAGGGAATCACCATTGAGTCCGAGGTTCACTGCCCAGTTGGCAGTAGTTTCTGAGAGTGCAAGGAGGATGAGAGCACTCCTCTCTCGCAGTGCGTCGTCAACGTCCAGTGCCTCAGACACCAGTATTACAGATCTTCAGGGAAATGTCCACATACCAAAAATCCTCCCCTGCTGAGGAATGCCATGGAACTTGTGTGATCAGGTCAGTAGATGTTCCAGAGTAGCCACAAAAGACACCCAAAGTCAGGCTTCTTCCATGAGCAATCAGATTAGGTTCCCAGAGAGGAGAGGAAGTCCCTGACTTCCTGGTCCAAGCCTGCTGCATTTCCTGTCCCAGTATTAACCACTTGTCATCCCTCATGGCCTCAACAGAGAGTGAAAAATCGTCTAACAACACATTCCCATTGTCCCTGGTGACTTCCTTACAATAAGACATACTACCCCTCCTTTGGAGAGGGTATACACATACAAAAACTTTGGTAACAGTAGAGGAGACTAATATATCAAATCATAGAACTTTAGAACTAGAAAAGACTCCAAAAACCCTATAGTTCAACCTCCCCATTATCCCAGCAAGGAAAGAGGCTCAGAAGCTTCGCCAGTCTGCGCAAAGCCAGGCACAGCATTTGACAGTTGAGTCCAAGTCCTCAACCCAAGCTCCTCCTCCAGATTTTCACATAACTGCGTTTCTTGGCCACTAAACTAAACTGAAAGATACTTAAATAATTTGGGTGCTTTGCTTTTTTTTCTTTGCCTAAGGAAAACAGAAACATTCCTCGTTAAGCCAAGGCAGGGTCTGACAGAGCTTGGCAGCTGGAAGTGTCTTTCTAAATCTGGAAACACCACATCTCCTTTGAAAAGTGGGAGCAACAATTTGTGAGTCTTAAATGTGAAGACGTGTATTTCTTTGTGAGAAAAAAATAACTGCAATGAAACTGCTGAAGACAAATATTGGGCAAGGCAGTCGGCAAAGCAAGAGATACTGAATTTGTCAGAACATTCAGTTTATTCGTGTGCCAAAAAAAAGGGAAAAAATACCAGCAAATTATTTTCCATTTGCAAATATGTTCTGTGAATTTTCCCAGAAGATGAATGTGTAGACAGGAACTCATGAGTTACAAGAATCAAATGCCCAAGTATTTGATAAAGAGGACAAGCTGAAACAGAGCTTAAGAGGAAAAAAATATCCTTCTTCACTCTATAACAAAATCTTCCCAACATCACCATCCAGGGTCATTGATGGGATCAATCCCACCCGAGATCACTGACTGAGGAGAGATCTCAGTTTAAAACACACACTCCACTTATTTACATATTTGAATGACATGAAGATAATGGCAATAATGTCTTCATGCTCAAGTTTTGGAGTCTTAGTGTTCATTTTTGCTTTAACACCAGATTTCCAGTCTGGATAGCTGGATAGTATAGTCAACCACATGGGGAAACTTGGAGAAAGGCTAATGAATTCCAATTTTGACCTTGCTTTCAAGTGTCAATGGGACCAAAATTCTTCTAATCAGTGGGTGAAATTATCTCTTTTACTCGTATGGAATTTGGTGCACACCTTGCCAGACACTTTGTTTTTTGTTCTTTAGCTGAGTCCCTTAGCATTTTGCTGTTCTTCCTCCCTTTTTTCTTACCTTACTGCTGTGTCTTGAGAGATATTGTGCCCCTGTGGATGAATGATTGACTCCTCTACTGGAATACACAGGTCTGGTCCGGCAGAATACCCATTGTATTCTTATTTTGAATCACTCAGTTTCAATTGTCCACCACTGCACATTTCTTGCATTTGTTTTCTTTTTTCTTACTCCCTTCCTCCTGACACAGCTCAAGAAACAGCTGCACATCTATGATTAACTAAAGTGGAGTAGAACTGATTATTAAGGGAGAAAATTCTAGAATTAAGTCCGTTCACTAGAAGTGGGGATGTGAGGGCAGGTATATATACAAGGGGTCTAGATCCAGAGCCAGATGTCGGAAGCTCAGTCTGCAGCAGAGCTGGGGTGTGACAAACGGGGTGGGCCAGATGGACATTGGCGCTGTAGGATATAACACGTATTGAGGGTGGTATGGGGAGATGATGGCATTGCTCCTAACAAGGAAGAATCAGAGGCTTGTCCTGCAGATAACAGGCAGAGTCCAAGGCAGTTCTGAGGCACAGAGGAGATGGCGGCAAGCATCTGGTTACCAGAGCTAGGCTCAGGCAGCAAGTTGACCAGCAGCCAGGGTGAGCCTGAGGCCCCCTGGAGCTTCTCCGGCAGATCTGCCTCAAGTCCAGGAACTGCAGTGGGGTGGGCAGCAGGAAAGAGAGGTGTGTGGAGGTTGGGGGGAGAACTGTGGCATCGGAGGAGGGGTCGCCAGTAGAGCTCGACACCTCCCAATGGGACTGTGACAAGTCCCCTTGAGGTCAAGGACTGTTCTGCTCTTCTGGCCTCCAATTTCACTGTGGGTGCCTAATAAGTGCAAATGCAGTTGGGTTGAATTAAAGAGCTACCTTCAGTTAATTATTCAGAACCCTATCGTAACAAATAACTTTATGGATTTAATGTACTGCAAGGGCATAGATGGCCTCCAGAAAAGGAACAGTTTCCTATAGTAAAAGCTTGACTACGCAGATGACAGTGATTGACAGATATATCCTCACAGGCCCTGAGAAAGGACACTGCTGACTACACGGATGGAGACTCAGCAGCCTTCCAGCCTTCAGAGGGGCTTCTCTGGCCCTCAGTGCCCTGCTGCCCATGACAAGACACCACCAGATTATCTGAGAAGCCCATCAGGGTCTTCAGAAGCTCCCTGTCCATCCTCATGGGAGGGGAGTGGGGCTCATTACTCTCCTAGTCCTCTGTTTTGTTCTGGAGACTTTAGCTTAGGACCCCCTGCCCACCAGGTACAAGTAACCCAGCACATTTCTGAGTGCTTACTGGGAAGGTGAAGGGGAAGTTGGTTCCTCAGGATGAGTTCCCAGGTGCACCTTTCCTAAAGGGCCAGCCTTAGTGATTCCCGCACTGGTTCCCACCCTGGGTCCACTCTACACCACCAGCACCTAAAGGGGGCAGGGTTTGGGAATCTGTTGTATTTAAATTCTAGACATTAGAATGTCTACACCTGAGCCAGCCCAGATGGCCTAGTGGTTAAATTTCAGCGCACTCTGCTTCAGCTGCCCAGGTTCAGTTCCTGGACATGAAACCACACCACTCGTCTATTTGTAGCCATGCTGTGGTGGTGGCTCACATAGAAGAACTGGAAAGACCTACAACTAGAATATGCAACTATGCACTGGGGCTTTGTGTAGAAAGGAAAAAAAGAATGTCTACACCTACCAGAGAAGAATACGATCCTGTGGAACACACAGGACAGATGCATAGTTTCTACTAAGGTAAGGGCAGCACCAGTCACCCAGATGGGTGTAATGTACATTTGCACAAAAGTTGTGTTTTTTTCTAAAAGATGTGAAGATAGATACTGGCTGAAGCAAAATAGTGAAACTGAGAAGTCAGTGAAATTTGCCTTGGGGGTCTCCCCCTTCTCTTGTTTACCCCTCAATGACCAAGCCCTCCCCACCTCTTCCTGGTTCTGGGTGCCTTCCTGAAGTTAAATAAAAGAGAATCTGATAACATAATTATACTTAACTGTCTCCTTCACATTACTGTGGTAACTGCCCGAGGTATTTGCATTTTAAAAGCTTTTATTATAGAATGAAATGATTTTGCAGGTCTTCCCTGGAAGGGATTTTTTAAAGCACTATTAAGCAAATAGATTTTTTTTTAGAATAAGGGATTTTTTCCTGGTTTCCAAAATTACACTGCACTATATCAAAGGCTGGCTGGCCCCAAATGTCAATAATTGACTGTAAGTTTGCTTTCGGTGCATTAGGTGCTGAGAAGTTACTTCAGAAGGAGCATCCTGGCCTTTTGCCCCCTCCCCAGCCCTTACCCCATGCACTCCCCTTCCTCTGCTCAGGACAGTACCCAACATTTATCAAGCCTCTATGAATTACTAAAATATTTTTTGTATATGTTATCTCATTTAATCCTCACAAAAGTCCTATGAGATAAGGATTATAATTATCCTAATTAAAATGATAATTCCACCTAATGCTTCCTCTAGAAACACCATTTCCTCGGCTCAGTGACCTACACTCTCCAGGTTCTCCTCCTCTCCCCATCTCTGCCCCTCCTCAGGGACCTTTGCTGGCTCCATTTCTCCCTGCCTCTTCAATGTGGGGGTTCCCTGGACTCTTGCTACCCTCTAACCATGGCCATCTCAATAATCCGGGAACTTCAGTTGCAGTGTGTACAGTAGACTCTCACAGCTACCTTCACAGCCCAGCCCACTCTGAGCTCCAAGCCCCCTATCTCACAAGTCCCTGAAATGCCATATGCCTAAAGCAGAATGCATAATCTAACCCCAGTCACCCACTATCCCTTATCACCACTGAAAAATCTGACTTTGGACAGTGTTCATTGATTCCTCCAGTCATCCATAGAGTCTTATCTGTTACTATCCTAATGGTCTCTCACCTCCACTGCCACTATCACTTTTCCACTTAGACTCCTGTAGTGCACCCCCAAATGGGCCCCCCACATCCACTTTGTCCCTCTTTAACTCATTTGTTCAAATCTCATCAAGTCACACCTCTGCTTAAAAGAGTCAGGTGTTGGCCTGACTATTGTTGGGGACTTGTAGATATGGGTCCCCATCCTTAATGTGGCCTCTGAAACTCAGGGCAGTATGGTCCCTACCCAGCTTTCCAGCCTTGTCTCACGCCACTGTCCCCTTCACTGTCAACATTCCTGCCCCTTGGCTTCCTTTTGTCTCCTTGGAAGTTCAAGTGTCTTGGTACCTCAGGATCTTTACACCATCTGTTCCTCTTACCTGGCTAACTCTTAATCATCCTACACATCTCAACTTAAAATGTCACTTCCCCAAGGAGGTCTTCCCTGATTCCTTAGACAAGCTAAATCCCCTTGGGATGTGCTCTGATAGCACGTAACCCTCATCACGATTGAAATGACGACTTTAACGTCTGTCCGCTTAGCTAGACTGTAAGCACCACAAGAGTGAATTTTTTTCAGCACTCTATTCTCAGTCTCCAGCACAGTGCCTAACACACAATTAATACTCAAAAAATATTCACTGGCTTAAATCAAGTTATTTTCCCAAACCAGGTAAGAAATGTCAAAGTGAAGACATGAATCCCAAGCTATCTGGCCTCAGAGCCCATTTTCTTTACCTTCTTCCCTCACTGTGCACCTCTTCTCCCTACTAATTCTTAGGTGCCCTGGAGTGATGGTCATGTGATCATCCCTTAGTGGAGGTAAATCTCAGTCTCTTGGTTCAGAATCTGCTATCTCAGTCCTGCAAGTATCCCAGGTAGGTGAGGACTGGGGAGCAGCTGCTCAGGGACCACGCTAGTGTGGTGGGGTATGTGTCGGTTTAAAAATATGTCCACAAATTCTTTAATACTCCTCCTTTTAAGAAATGGAGCTTAATTCCACTCCCCTTGAGTGTGGCCTGGACTTAGTGACTCATTTCTACCAAATAATTTTGCAAAAGTGAATGTCTGTAACTTCTGAGACTAGATCTTAGAAGACATTGGATTGTTTACTCTTGGATCATTCATTCTGGGGGAAGTAAGCTGCGATGTCATGAGGACACTCAAGCAGCCCTATGGAGAAGTCCATATGGTGAGAAACCAAGGCCTCCTGAGAATAGCCAGCAAGGAACTGAGGCCTTTTGCCGACTGAGCTGTGTGAGTGAGCCATCTTCAGATCAGATCTTCCAACCCAGTCAAGGCTTCAGATGATTGCACTTGTGGCAAACATATTGACTGCAACCTTCTGAGACCCTCTGAACCCCAACCACCCAGCTAGGCTGCTCCCAAATTCCCCACCTACAGAAACCGTGAGATAATTTTCACTACTTTCAGCTGTTACATT